TTATGTCTTGCTGATTGTGGCTTAAATAAGAAATAGAGTTCTAAAGAAGAGAGAGAAAACCAGTTAGGGACCATCATCATCACTGTGTTTTTATCAGAAGAGAAATTTTTATATGTATTTACTCTTCTTCCCAAAAGCAGTCTATCAGGGTTTCTTAAATGCCTTCTGATATTAAGCTTATTCCATACTCTCAAGCTTTGATTGTTAGTAGTTTAAACACTCCTTTGAAATTTCCCTCAAGCGAGTACTTTTGCATGAGATTAAATCCCCGAGTGCTGATAAGCCTTTTCAAGAGATTCTGTTTTCTTCCATTCAAGTCATTTAGATTCAGACTTAGAAACAGAAGAATCCTGCTGCTTAATGTTCTTCTCCCCTGATGGTGCATAAATGTTCATTAAATTTTTCTGATAAATTATGGATCTGATGTGAAAAAATAAGGGACAGGAGAACTTTAGAGTTGCTTTGCACTGTGAGTAACTTCTAAGTCTTAACAGCTGCTTGGGAGATTTTGATGAAATAAAGTTATGCAGTCTTCACAGCACTGAGGCATTCAAACTCTACAAACTTTTGATTTATAATGTTGGTAAGATTTAATTTTATTTATTACAGGCTAGTTTTGTTGCATCTGGAAACAGGACTGATATTTCACTAGATGATCCCAACTTCTGGCAGAAATGGGCCAAAAAAGCAGAAATAGATATAGATGCTATCAGTGGTAGAGTAAGTACTTCTTTTGTAACTCACCTTCTTTCAAGTATGAGCTTACTGTTGAATTCTGAAATAACAGATGTAGGATTTCTGGTGCTTTTTTGTTAATATTTTAACAAATCGGACTTTATGTACTGGTCAGTTTGTGCCTGGGTAATCAGCCTGCTGGTAGCTTTAGTATTTCCTAGCTCCCTGCTGTCCCAGAAGAGTTTGGAGATCCTTGATTTTTTGTCAAAGACCTGGAAATGATTGAAATTATGTAATAGTTCAAATTGCCTTAAGTACCACAGAATGTTTTACTTGCTTTTTGGGTGTTTACTATGATATATTTACAAAATACCTATTAATGACATTAGATAGAAATTGTTCTTTCTGAACTGAAGCCTTAAGATGGCCATTTGCTTAGGAAAAACTTATCAACTGTTTCTCTGATAAGGTTTGTTTGCAATTTTGCAGAACAGCCTGGTTATTGATACCCCAAGAATTAGGAAACAAACACGGCCCTTTAGTGCTACAAAAGATGAGCTGGCTGAATTGTCTGAGGTGGAGAGCGAGGGTGATGATAAACCAAAACTCCGCAGGCCTTGTGACCGTTCCAGTGGATACGGAAGAACAGAGTGCTTTCGGGTGGAAAAGAACTTGCTGGTCTATGGGTATTGTATACATCTTTCTTCATTCTAGGAAGTTCTAAAAAAGTAGTATTTTGCAATAACCTGGTGTATATATATTTCTTTCTTCATTCTAGGAAGTTCTAAAAAAAATAGTATTTTGTAATAACCTGGTGTATATATATAGAATTTATTTAAAATATGAATTTAGGTGGTTTTAGTATGCACCCTGTATAAATCTTTCTGACAATTTGTAATTGAAAAAACATTAAAGTCCTCTTTCTTCAAAGGAGATTATGACATTTAACATGGGCACTACAGTAGTCTCTCTAAAAATCATTACAGGAAGTGCTGCAGGCAGGCTCAAAACTCTGTAAATAAATAAATATCTAAAATAAAGACTTGGTAGGTGACTTGATGTTCATAATTGCAGAACATCTTGCACTTCCATGAGATGCAAATAGGAACTGAAAATCTAACCAGTTATTGTAAGCATATTTAAAATAGATATCTTGATTTGGAAATACAATCACACACTTCATAAGATGACTGTGTTAGAGTTCCCATCAGTTTTGTGTCTTAGAAGGCTAAAACAATCAGGCAAGTTTTGTTTAAAACTCTTTTTTAAATAGAGGGAGTTTTGCTGCAAATGTTCCTTTCATATTTCCACTCAGTAACTTAAGCTGAAGGAAAAAAGTGGAAAGCCAAATATTTTACAGAGAAATTCTCTTTTGTAATGGAAATCTACAGGCTGCCCAAGTGTTACACCTTGAAATGCTAATTTTGTGTTTCACTTTGGACTAGGTGGGGTCGATGGAGAGAAATTTTGTCACATGGTCGCTTCAAGAGACAGCTGAATGAACAGGATGTGGAAATAATTTGCCGAGCTCTGTTAGCCTATTGTCTTGTTCACTACAGAGGAGATGAGAAAATAAAAAGTTTTATATGGGATCTCATTACCCCAACAGAGAATGGGCAAACACGAGAGCTACAGAATCACCTTGGTAAGGACTTGATGTGTTTCTGCAGTTAAATAGCTTCATGTACGTATGCCTGTGGTACTGGGATCAAAACAGCCGAAAAATCTCTCTGAATGCATCGTACTTGAAATAAAGGGAATTTATTCCAGATAAGGCAGTTCAATTGATGGGAAAAGAAGTGTCATTTCTGCTTTGCTTTGCATTTGATGGCTTACCCAAATGGACTGGTATACTCTGTGTAAGCTTTCTTTTCATTTCAGTTCGTAAGAACCTATTCTTGTTTCATAGCAGGTGATAACACACTCTGCTTTCTTTCCCCTTCTGCTTCATCCTTAGCTGGTGAAATATATTCCAGAGATGCCCTAAAAGGCAACAGAGAAAAAAAAACCTCATATCCAGAGGCTGTGATGCTAGTATTTTTTCTGCACTGCAGATCACAATACTGGTATAGGAACTATGTGTTTCGGGGATCTATACCTACCTGTTGCTGTTACTGTATTGTATTTTGAATTATATAGGCTTATCAGCCCCTGTGCCTAGAGGAAGAAAAGGAAAAAAAGTGAAGACCCAGGCTAGCACTTTTGATATACACAAAGCAGAATGGCTTCGAAAATACAATCCAGAACACCTGTTGCAAGATGAAGGATACAAAAAGCACATAAAACACCATTGCAACAAGTAAGCACTTGGTAGCTGATGTGTGAATGTCTTTCAGTGTTTATTTAAAGATTATTTTACTTCTAATTTATCTTTGTCATAGAAGACTTTAAAATACTTGTGGCACTATGAAGAAACAAGTTTTAATGGTGTTAGCTTAATTAGAATAAATAGGTTGCAGTGTATTAGGAGTTGAACCGAGTATTTCACATTTAAAATAATTCTCTTATCATTTTTAAAGAAACTGTGTCTGTACAGAGAAAGCGAGACATCTTGCTAGTGTGCTTGGGGAGCCTCATAGCAGCCAAAGGACTAAAGAGTTGGGGAGTGCTTAGCAAAGAAACTGAAAGCATCAAAGTTGTTGCCCCTCAATCTCTTATGCCGTTTACGTGGCATGTTTTCCAGGCTTCTGAGAGTCTGAGCTACTGGCTTCTTGAAAGCTCATTTGTAGCTGTGAATGTGCTTGTTCTACATAAATCATTTTTCTGTAGCAAAACTTGTCATACTCTGCTTCAAAACTTGATATTGCTGTAGTCAAGAATTGAGATAAAGCATGGAGAGGCCACTGCGAGGGGAGTCGTGCACCAAATTCTAAGTGGAAAGGAATGAAAAGGTCGTGAGAAAGATGTTTGTTGTCAGCCTGCTCGATTCTTTCGAAGAGAATTTTTTAAATAGGAAGAGGAAGATAGCGGCTTGTTCTTAGCAGTATGTTATGAAGCAAGTGAGGACTGTTCTGCTGGCCCTGGTCTTTGTCTAGGATTTGAAATAATTTTTGCAGTGAAACAATTTGTAAAACTGATCACAATAAAAAGTGTTAGGTGACCTGAACTGGAGGTTATCTCCTTGTACAACTGAAGGAAATATGCTTTAGGAAAATCACTTGAAAGCTTTGTGATATTACAAAAGACAAAACAGAACCACCCACAACTGTTGAAAAGCTTTTAGAGTGCTAATATTTGTATTTCCTTTTCCTTTGTTTAGGGTGTTGCTTCGAGTAAGAATGCTGTATTACTTAAAACAAGAAGTCATTGGTAATGAATTCCGAAAGGTGTTTGATGGAATTGATGCCAGGTGAATTACAGAGAAGTTTTTTGCTTGTTTTTTTAAAAATGTAAACTATCAAATGAGAATTCAGAAATCTTCTTAAACCTAAATAAGAAATGTTAAAATTAAATATTATATGCTTAGGCTATGTTTTTGTTTACTAAGCACTTCGTATCCACTTGACATAAGGAAGTCTTGATTCCTATTTGAGTCCAGCTATACAGAGTTTTTGTTATGTGCTGCATATTCTATTGATTATTTTTTTAATGAAAGTATTGCTGTTTGGAAGTTCTTGAACTCACTGCTACAGGAACTTATGGTGGATAGAAAGATTTGATTCAGAAAGCTGTTATAAACATTTGTGGAAGAACAGTTCAAATCATGCTATTAAACAGAAAAGCAGATAATCCTTGGTTTGCTAGGTTTTGCAAGCACAAACTGCTACGAGTTAGCAGAGTTTACTGAGAGAGGAGGAATATTGTATGCTGGTTCTGCTGTCGTATTCTGTTGCTGTTACTGGTCTCTGTCAAACACAAAATACCACGCTGTCTGGGTGTTTTGTATTGCTGTTTCTAGGGTCTTATTGAATGCAGAGGTGAAAAATTCTGTGTCTCACTTTCTTTAGGTTATCAAAATTATTCTTAATGATAAATTACTATTGTATTGTATGGCACTTTTTAACTGTTACTTGCTATTAAATAACAAAGTGCATTAAAAAATTCAAACATTTCAATCCTAGGACTCTTTACAGTCTTCAAAGTAATCTTTGAATTATTTTGCTGGACATGGAATGTTTGTATATGTGTGCTTGAACAGAGAAGTTTAAAAATCCCACATAAAGTACAAATGTACAAAGAGAAAATAAAAGTTTATTTCTTTCTCTGAATATTATTGATGTTGGTGTGCTGTTGGTGATTCTCCTTAGTGAAATTGATGTTTGGGTTCCTGAGCCAGATCACTCTGAAGTTCCTGCTGTTTTTTTTTAGGCAGATAAATCCCTTCTAATTGGAGTTTTTAAACATGGTGAGTGATGCGGATGACTATGTATGTACTTCCCCACCCCTCAATATAAACACCCTACACTCAGTATTTTAATAGCTTACTTTGAAAGTTGCGTTTATACTACTTTTTAAATTTTATTTATAGGTTATGAAAAATACAACACTATCAGAGCAGACCCAGCGCTGTGCTTCTTGGAAAGGGTTGGCAAGCCAGATGAAAAAGCAGTCGCTGCCGAACAGAGGGCAAATGATTATATGGATGGGTATGAGCACTTAAAAGTGGGCATGAATGTTTTGGGGCCTTAACATAAACAAGACTGAATTCTTATGGTGTACTTTATTCTCTTCTTAACTGGTTTTATACTAGTTTGATGTAGTTGCTGTGAAGGATATTACTTTGATTTTACTCCTGCAGAGTGGAAGAGAGTTAGGAACAGTGTAAAAGGACCACTGCAGTTTGGGATTTCAGAGTTAAAGGAAAAATGCAGCAACTTGTTGTTAACAAGGACTCTACCTTGTGTTGCTGTATCAGAAATATTACTTGCACACTGACGTGCAAAGCCTTCAGGGGCAGAGTACTACAGACCTATTAACTCGATTTCAGGTCAGTCAGCTTGGTGTATTAGTCTTGTGTAGCTAACCAGTGACCCCAGTAGATCAATGTGGGTATCACTGATAACTGCTGAAAGGGAGAACTGCTTTTATTCATTGCTTCATCAGTGAGGTAGCAGCTGTGGTCCTAAAGAACATGTTTGAATGAGATAATGAATTGGAGGGAGCAGGATTCAAGCAAAGCTGCTGTGAAATACTAATTTCAAATAGAAAATTAAATACAGTGTATCTAAGTAAGTTTAAATGAGTTCTGCTTAATTCAAAAGAGTGTAAGGACTTCTAATATATTACTAAGATGTGTTCTTTTGTGTTCAAATTTTAACAGGGACGTAGAAGATCCAGAATACAAACCAGCACCAGCAATGTTTAAAGATGACATAGAGGTATAGTAGGCACCTATTAACAGCTCCTTTAACACACTTAGAATGTAATACTTGCAGCTTTTCATTGAGGAGACTATTACATTTTCCTATATTTCTCTAAATTAATAGAACTTATTCCATGTGTTTCTCCAGTTGTATGGGTGGGGGGAATGGGAGAGAGTTGTTGTATAATTCTGTTGTATGCCTCGTTAGCCATTTGTCTAAAATATGTGTTACTCTTCTTCTTTGTCATATTCGTAAATTGTCTGCAAGATGTAAGTTTAACCTACATCTCTGGAGAAGGCTACATTTTTAATTGTTCTTCACTTTTGTTTTTCTATAGGATGATGTTTCATCCCCAGGTGATCTAGTAATAGCAGATGGAGGTAAATACATAAAACTTCAAATCTGAGACAATTCAATCTATTTTGAATTGATTAATTCTTCTGACTCTTAGCTAAAATGCATTTAGATTGCCTGGTGTAGAACCATAGGCACCAGCAATGATTAACTTCTTTATTTTTCCTGTGACTTTGTTTTAATATAGACGGACAAATGATGGAAGGAGACAAAATATATTGGCCCACTCAGTCTGCCTTAACAACACGTCTTCGCCGCCTAATAACAGCTTATCAACGATCAAGTAAAAATAGGCAGGCCCAGCAGATCCAGCCAGCATTCCCATTACAAACCAGTGTGATGCAGCCTCCATATGAAGAAGCTGCTCTAAATCCAAAGATGGCTGCTAAGATTGAAAGACAGCAAAGGTATGTGCAGCATGCAAATACACATTTTTAATATATCTTTACATAAAAAATATTGAAGAAATAATAATTGCTAGATGTGTGAAATAGTGAAGAAAATTACCGAATTTTTTTTTTTTCTTGCTGATCAAGATGGACGAGAAGAGAAGAAGCTGATTTTTACAGAGTTGTGTCCACATTTGGAGTGGTGTTTGATCCTGAAAGAGGACGATTTGATTGGACCAAATTTAGAGCAATGGCTAGGCTACATAAGAAAACTGATGAGAGCTTAGAGAAGTACTTGTATGCATTTATGTCAATGTGCCGGAGAGTCTGTCGTCTCCCCTCAAAAGAAGGTGGGTGTATATATTTTTTACTTTTAGTTTTATCTTTCATTTCTGTTCCTAGTGCTTATCTTGAAAAAGTTTTTCTTTCATGTGTTCCAAAATAAAAATGGGGGAGAAGGAGTTAAGGAAACATGTTAAGTGTAAATGGAAAGCTCATAATGGGGTGACATGTATTAACTGATTAAAGCTATCTAGTTCTAGTATTGATTTGCAGTGGGGTTTTTTTTTTTGCCATATGCTCATCTTTGTTTTGTTTTAATACAGAACTTGTAGACCCAAGCATATTTATCCAACCAATTACAGAGGAGCGTGCTTCTCGGACATTGTATCGCATTGAACTCCTAAGGAAAGTGCGAGAACAGGCTCTTAGACACCCACAGTTGTTTGAACGACTAAAACTATGTCAGCCAAACCCAGACTTACCTGTCTGGTGGGAATGTGGGACTCATGACAGGGATCTACTTATTGGAGCTGCTAAACATGGAGTTAGCAGGACAGATTATCATATTCTTCGTGATCCTGAACTCTCATTTATGTCTGCACAGAGGAACTATAATCAAAATAAAGTGGCACTCTCAAGGACTTCTACTCCACTCTTGCATCAGTACCAGATGGCATTATCTGCTTCTCCTCTTACATCTCATTCAAGGTTGTCAGATGCTAAAGTGAATGCTTTTGAGGACATAAAAGCTAAAAATGAAAATATGAAAGAGGACCCTCAGTCTTCTGAAGAGGAATCTATGTCTACAGAGGAGACACCAACCATAATGAAAACTGAACCCCTGAGTCCAAAAAATGGCACACCAATACAAAATACAGACCACAAACCTAGCGTGAAGACTGAAACAGATAGGCGCATGGTGGCAGCAAGGACTGAGCCTCTAACTCCAAACCCAGCTTCCAAAAAACAGAGAGTCAGCAAAAGGGGATCTGACTCTAGCTCTGACTCAGATTCTGACTCAGATAGATCATCCTGTTCTTCCAGGTCATCTTCTTCATCCTCCTCATCTTCCTCATCTTGTTCACACTCTCGATCAGGCTCTAGCTCTTCATCATCTTCATCTTGTTCTTCAGCATCTTCATCCTCCTCCTCCTCATCCTCATCATCGTCGTCGTCGTCATCATCGTCGTCTGAAGAGAGTGATAGTGAGGAAGAGGAGGCACAAAAACGTGGTAAGTTTGTAGTCCTACTTCTGCAGTATAACTCTCATAGAATCATAGAATCATAGAATG